GTGTTTTTTACTATTGGGCTCAAGGACACAGCCTGAATCGGTTTCTGTCTGGAAGGGCAGTGTATTTACAGAGGGGTGTGCCCCAGACTGGCCTGCACACTGCTTTCACAAACAGCCTCTCCAAAAGGAGTTTGTTGTTCCCAGTAGCCTCTGACATGCAATTAGCACATGTGAACTCTCCAGCTGACTTACGAGTCATGCATACAAATCAGAGAAGGCAGTGTTGCCCAATGGGTAGAGTACGGTGCAGGGACCTGGGTTCTGTCCCCAGCTCTGCTACTGGATTGTTATTTGACCTTAGGCAAGTCATTTCACTGCCCTCTGCCTCAGTTTCCCAACCTGTAAAATGGGGATAAAGTTGCTTTCCAAATGAAAAGCGCTAGGTAAGAGCTAGGAATTGTTAGGAGTCACTGGTGCTTCCTTGCAGTCAGGGAGTCTGTCTAACATGTGTGTAACCAGTTAGCAGTTAGAAACCCTGAGCTCCTCCTGTGAGCTAAGCCAGGGAACTGCTTTAAATTGCATTGGCAGCAGAATCTTTTTTATTTGGGGGAAGACGGGCAATGCGCCAAAAGCAAACCTTACCAAGAGGGGGAGGAGACAGACAGCTGTTCAGTTTATGGCGACTTCAGAGCCAAAATCCCATTGGTCTTACTGAGTATGTCTATACTACACACTAAGCCCAGGCTCTGACTCAGGTATGAGCCCATGCCCCCCTTCTGTCCACACACAAATCAGTCTGAGTTGGTCCGCAAGCACTCAGGGCCCAGATCCTAGGACCCTGCTGGGGGGTGGGTAAGAACCTGAGTCCGGCTGCGACTTGGGTCCAAGCCCTGTCATTCTGCAGTCTGGACGCAGTTCAAGCCCCAGACCCGAGTCAGAAGGGCTGCATAGTGCCATATACGGACGCGTTAGCACGGCTGTGATACCCAGGTCCAGCACTTGTAAACCTGGGCTTACAATGCAGTGTGCACACTCAAGTGCAGGCTTGGAAACACGGAGTCCACGAGCCTGGGTCCCGCAGACCTGGGATTACAATGCAGTGTAGACTCTGCTGGTTCTTTCCTGGGCTTCAACATAAGTAGATAAGGAGAGCAGGATCTGTCCGTAGCCACTCCAGTCTGCTGCCCATGTGTGCAGCATGAGGCTCGATGGGTGACTACTGTAAAAGTCCAGATTCTAGAGTAAAGTAGAGGCTGATGGTGCTTGCGGCAGGCTGGAGTGACGCTGACACCATTTGGAGGCCTGCACTGCGTTCGGGTGCTTGAAGGGGTAACTTGGCACAGTTTTAATGCCTGGCCACCCAGCCACGCTGACCCAGTTGTCAGACCCCCCGGCCTGTGCTCCACAGCCAGGCTGTTTGTTACCCTAGTGCTGAGACTCCAGGGAAGATACCAACACGACCTGGTTTGGAACTAGAGAGTGCCAGGCCCATAACAGTGCATGGGAACAGGTGGGTCTCACATAGCCTGGCAGGAGTTGTGCCATGTATCTGCTGCCCTCTGACACGTGACCCAAGGACAGCAGGTGTTTAGGATCACACTCACCTCCTGATGAGCACTCAGAATTTTGTGCTACTGTCAGACCGGCACAACCTCCTCCCGGCCACACCACATCATTGCTCTACTTATTGCAGCCTGTCTGGGGAGCTCGGAAATGCCTTCCCACCGGAGGGCAATCCCGCTGGGTGGAAACGCCGAGACCATTTAGTTCCTATTCTTGCTGTAAGATCCAGAGGTGGGGCGCGGGGCTCCCGAGCTGCTGTGGTTTGGGTTTGTTGACTAGCTCAGCCTCAAGGCTCCCTCACCTGTAGGTTTTCACACACACCTGGCTTTTCTGCCAGGCCTGGGAAAGTAATTGCTGAACCAGCTGTTTTGGTGAAAGAGAGGAAAGCGAGTGTCTGTCTAACACTCTAAAATAGCGGCTTTTCAACCTGGAGTCCGCAGACCCCTTGGAGTCCGCAGACTATGTCTAAGATTTGCAAAGGGGCCCGCACCTCCAGTTGAAAATGGTTAGGGGTCTGCAAATGAAAAGAGGTTGAAATGCATTGCTGTAAAGGATCAGACATTACAGGATCAGATTGTTACTGGAATCGCAAAGCTCAGTGATCCCAGAGGCCCCGAATAAGAGGCTGATCACTGATATTGACTAGCTGTCTGAAGAGCCATCTTGGTGTGGGAAAGGAGTTTCTTGGCCTGAGCCAAGCGTATTTGGCCTAGTGGAGGCTGCCCCTCTTGTTTCCTTTTCTCCTTTCCCAGGAATCTGGTGCCTTGTTTCTTGAAAGATCCCAGTGTTCATGGGCACCTTTGTGTTCCCGGCAGGCCACTGACCTTTCTGGCAGCTCCTAGCCAGTGCTTCCTACCTCCCCGTCCCATGCCCTCCTTCCCAGGACCCTGCCTCTGCCCTGCCCTCTGGTGCTGAGATATCCCATTAGCTCTGTAATGCCTCCGAATTGACACCCTCTGGCCCTGTGCCTTCTAAGCTGTTCTAGCTAAAATAGAACAGTGGATGATTTCGCAACCACAACAAAATGCTTTTCTCTCGTGCCCTCCGTAAAATCCACAGGGACCTTAACAACAACGCTCAGTTTATGTGATCAGCAGCTAAGAACAATTTAAAGCAACAGCTCTTGGGTATTTCCTTTATTTACTTATAAACTCCAGAGTGGACAAAAGATCTGGTGCAAAGCTCATCTTTTTACCCAGATGTTTGGAAGTGGGAGGAGTGATTGGCTGGTTGAATTGTCATTATTTAGATTATCACAGCTCACAGGAGCTCTGTGTGATAGTCCCTACTGGAAGAGGGCAGGGGAGAGGTGATATTTGAGTTTTTAAGTTGCCTGGGTCATTGGGAATGGGCTATCTTGACTATTGCTAAGTAATGCTGTCCTTAGGATATTATTTGTGGTGTACTTTTGACGTTATTAAGGGCACCGAGAGTGTAGCGATAGTGGCCGCATTTAATACTTGTGCAAATCTAAATAAACAGACACAGACCCAAAGCAAACTCCAGATCTGAACAGCCCTGAATTTAGGAGCGTTCCAAACCCCTCCCTTCAGTTCCAGACTGGGCCAGCTTTAGGATTTTTGCCACCCCAAGCAAAAACAATTTTGGCCGCCCCCTCCGCCCCCCGTTTTTTTCTTACCCCACCCCCGGCCCCGCTTCAACTCCGCCCCTTCCCCAAATCCCCAGCCCTGCCTCCTCCCCCCAGGCTCTCAAGCCTAGGAGGGAGGGGGAGAAGTGGTGCGCGCCGCGGCCACTCGGAGTCTCCCCCTCCCTTCCAGGTTTGAGAGCCTGGGAGGGAGGGGGAGCAGCGGCATGCGAATCAGCTGTTTTGCGCGCCGCGGCCGCTCGGGATCTCGCCCTCCCTCCCAGGTTTGAGAGCCTGGGAGGGAGGGCGAGCAGCGGCGCGCAAGCGGA